TTCGAAGAATTTCAGATAGAGAGATCGAGAAAAGGTGTTTCTTTTGAGCTTCACGGATACAGAAACAGAGAATTACAGAAGAAAGGGTCAAATAATCACAAACCCGATTTGTACATCAAGAAACAAACCTACGATTTTCAGGAACTTTCCTTTTTCTTTTAAAATTTTCAGGTGAAAAATATTAATAAATAAAAAAATGTATTTATTTCCTTTTTTCGTTGGGAGAAAAAAGGAATTTATTTCCTTTTTCGAAACGAAATTTGGATGCGTTGCCTCGTTTTACTTGATTCTAGTTGCTTCTAATAATAAAGTTTTTTTCTAGTAACGAATAAAGTATAAAACTATTAATTATTTAAATTAAATGTTTCTAGAAATGTACGTGACTACGTGGCCTTATTAAATTGCTATATCTCACTCTTGCATTAATTTAATGGAATTAACATGATCTTATTGAGTCGGTCAAGATTCATATGCCACATAAACTTAGTCTTACCGGGAAATTTTCCGGTTAGTTGTTTTCCTATCTACTTAACGTCTTTCCCTATGAAAGATCCAAAAGCTTACGACGATAAAGGTTGCTTGAAACATCTCAACAAATTCGCTATGGATCACAATAACCAACTCCAAGAAGCTATAGCTTCTTTAAGGAAAGAGTTTCCTAATGTGGTTATAACCTATGGAGATTACTACAATGCGTTTCAATACGTTCTACGTAGTGGAAGATTCGACAAGAGTGTAACTTTGAGATCTTGTTGTGGGATCGGTGGTGCTTATAACTACGGTGGTAAGAGGCCATGTGGAGCATTAGGAGTGCCGGTGTGTTCGAATCCAGACAGGTTCATAAGTTGGGACGGAGTTCACTTGACACAGAGGGCTTACAGGTTCATGTCTAAGTTCTTGAACAAGAAGATTCTTTCAGAGATCAAGTGTAATAGGGTTTAATTAAGACAATGTTTTAATTAATATTTTTTTCTTATTTTGTTAATTATTTGTATTATTTTTGTTGGCACGATTATGCAATAGTATTGGTTTCTTTACTTAACTTTCGAGTAAATCAAGTAATAATTTTTTCACATTATATATATACTCTTTTATTTTGTTTTATGATTTTTATTTGGTAATAATAACTAACTGCAATAAAACAAAGCTAGTATAATTTGGAGCCCTAAACCGAAATGGAATCATCATACCA